TGAGGTTCAGTGTTAGTATTTTGAGAGCTCTGAACGGGAATGCTTTTGGCTTGTTGATGACAATTTTGTGTATTTCTTCATATTATAAAGAAATATCACCATATGAAAATATATATATATTTGAAGCTAATTCTTGTGGAGTTTAGGAGAGGTTAACTCTATAGCTATTGCTCCTGAAAAAATGCTTTTAAAAAATTACCTATATTGAGAATTGGGAAAACATTGCAAGTCCAGTTTTATTCCATCTCACAAGGTACTACAGCGCTGTCTTTTACTTCTTTTGTGTGTATATATACACACCCACTCTTTGGCATTTCCCCGTGCAGGTATCACGGACTATCGCCGCCTTGCCCGCGCCGCAGCAGGTTCTCACCTGCTGCCTATGTTATACACAGCAATGTGTGTGCGTCAGTCTCAGCCCCTCAGTCCCAGTTTATCCACTCTTATCCCCTACTAACCATATGTTTGCTTTCTACATCCGTGACTCTACTTCTGCTTTGTCAATAAGTTCATTTGTATCTTTCTTTCTTAGATTGCACACATACATGATGTTACATGATATCTGTCTGTGTCTGACTCACTGCACTCAGTATGACAGTCTCTAGGTCTGTCTATGTTGCTGCAAATGGCGTTATGACCATTTTTATGGCTGCGTAATATTCCGCTGCATGCATGTACCACATCTTCCTTATCTAGTCCTCTGTTGCTTGGTCTTTAGGTCATTTCCATGTCCTGGCTGTTGAGAATAGTGCTGCAAGGAACATTGGGGTACTTGTATATTTTTTAATCTTCTCTGAGTGTGTGTCCAAGTGGAATTGCTGGGTCATATAGTAGCTTTATTTTTATTTTGTTAAGGAAACTTCATACTGTTTCCATAGTGGCTGTATCAATTTACATTCCCACCAACAGTGCAAAAGGGTTCCCTTTTCTCCACAGTTTCCTCAGAATCTGTTTGTAGATTTACTGATGGTGGCCATTCTTATCATTATGAAGTGATACCTCATTGTAGTTTGGATTTACATATCTGTAATAATTGCAGCATTTTTCATGTGCTTTCTGGCCATCTCTATGGGCTTCCCTGGTGGCTCAGAGGTTAAAGTGTCTGCCTGCAATGTAGGAGACCTGGGTTCCATCCCTGGGTTGGGAAGATCCCCTGGAGAAGGAAGGCAACCCACTCCAGTATTCTTGCCTCAAGAATCCCATGAACGGAGGAGCCTGGTGGGTTACAGTCCACAGGGTCACAAAGAGTCAGACACAACTGAGCGACTTAACTTATGTCTTCTTCGGAGGAATGTCTATTTAGATCTTCCACCCATTTTTTTGACTGAGTTGTTTTTTTGATATTGAGTTGCAAGATTTCCTTGTATATTTAGATTAATTCCTGGTCAGCTGTGTCTTTTCTAAACCACACTGTCTCCTGAGCGAGGCTGCCTAGTGGAGAATGCCTAGAAGGAGAATGTTTGCAACAACTGTGAGTGGGGAGACACTGAATGCTCCCTTAGTGAAGATTCAAGGTCCCAGTTTCCAACCCACAGTCAGAAAAGTGGGTTTACTCCTGAGTGCCCATTTGGCAATTTTTAGGTGACTATCCCAAGGATTTATAAAACTAAAGAACATTTCTTTCTGGATAATATACTTGTATGTGTGTTATACAAAGATAAAAAATTGAAATAATGTTCTTATTAGGTATAAAGGAGATAATAATAATAATAACAAAGGAGATTATTACCTCTTTGCAATAGAATTTCAACCTTTTTTTTTTTATATAAAACAGAGACACCTAAATGTCATTAATTCAGTGGCTGTAATATATTGTTTACAATTATTGGCCTGAATCATTCTGACATTTACCCTGGCATTACATATGAAGAACAGACACGATAAAATAATAGAAAAAATACTTGCCTCTCAGTTCCTGATACAAATCTGCCCTTCAGTTTCTAATACAGATTTCCTGAAACCCTAAATCTGTATCTAAATCTATTCTATTTCTTAACAGTGATATAATTTTTAAAGAGACATTTCTTCTCTCGGCACTTTTTATTTCCATCTTTAAAAACTCATTAGAAACTGATGGAAGTTGGGTATATCAATAAAATAACATGAGACCATCTCTGGCTTATGGCAGCCTGTTGATAGAAATGTTTTAGAGGAGCAATGTGGTGCAGTGGCAGAAACAGAGTTGTACTTGGGATTTGGAGAGATCTGACTTCCAATGCTGGCTTTGCTGATTTCTATGTCTGTGACCTTAGGCAAGTTTATTCGTCTCTCTGTAATCCATCTGTAAATGCATATTTGTTTGAATAAAATAACATATACGAAAATGGTGCATAATGCCTGACATATGGTAGATAGTGCATAAGCAAATGTATCTGTTATGTCAACCAGTCTGCTCGCATGTCCTCACCTACCATTTATAATAAAATCCCAGCACACACTGGTACAGGAAAATAACACAACACTCACATTGTAATATAGTTTACAGGAAAATTTAATTACACAAAATAGAAAGCAAACAGTATTTTTTTTTTTTTGGACTGATAAAACTTCACCCTATGTTAAATGAAGTCTGGGAACAGAGTCTTTGAACTTTACCCAGGACCCAGGTTTGTGTTCCTGGATTTTATGGCTTATAATTTTCACCTGCCTTGGACTTAGAACTTTAATTTAACTGAAATAGGATCCTGGCCCAAGATGAATATGGTGATTTCAGTCAGATTCAGAGTTCACAGTCTCCAGAATCTTAATTTCATTCTCCCAAGTTGGCTGTAAGTTATAGACTCAGAGGATCACAGAAAGTCAATGGCAATTTGAGCACGATAAATCTAAACCTGATTGTAACATCATTGTCACGACAGTCCCAAAACAATGACTCCATTTTGGAGACACCTGTAAAACATCTATTATAATGACATGAACACATGGAATGTCTTGGGTAGTCTGTTGTTATATCATGCCAAACTTTTCTCCAAGAACTTTAAGGGAGATTATTTCTCCCCATTTAATTTTCACCCCAACTCTTCACTTTTACACACTTATAATACATTTTTTAGGTTAAATTTTGAATTTCTCTATTAACAATATATTCAACATTTGCCAATAAATACAAACTATCTTAGGCATAGTATAGAATATCATTTCAAAACATGCTCAGAAATGTTCAGCAAGTCTAAGTTTACTCTCCAAAAGCATTTAATATTTCATAATATTTTCATTCTCATGCTTAAATCTACTAATATGCTAATAGTTTCATTGTTCAGTTAATCATTCTGGTCTAGTCAACCAGTTTATAGTTCATCTGAGTCACTTTTGGCCTAAGAGAAGGGCAAAATCCCTTTTCTACAGTATGTCTCATTGGTCTGTGTGTTTAGGGAGTACCTACAACATCCCTGTCTTTGAACCAAATCCTGGGGATTCAAAACGGATAAAAAGTTTCCTGTCTTCAAGGTGCCCCTGACTTTCCACCAGCTATGCAGTTTAAACATGGCAGTGTGTATATATGTCAATGCTATTGCCGCAATTAGTCCCACACTCTCCTTCCCCTGCTACGTCCACAGTCCGTTCCCTAAGTCTGTGCCTCTAGTAGTAGTTCTCCACTGGTAGTAGTTCTTCCTCTGATGGACAGTCTGGATTCTAGAGGCAGACTAAAGGATATCATATCCTAAATACCATAAATTGTTTATTGCTATTACTACTTAATTGACAGTCTCCATTTTGAAATACACGTTGTATACTGTTCTTCGAATACTTTAGATAAATGGGAGGTGGCATTTGAAGTTTATAAACTATAACCCACTCTAATAAGTACAATTAGATTAGGTTATGCATGCATATATATGCATATGGTTTAGATGGTCTTGGTGGTGGTGCTTGTTCAGTTGCTCTGTCGTGTCATACTCTTTGTTACACCATGAACTGAAGCACAGCAGGATGTCCCGTCCTCCACTACCTCCCGGTGTTTGCTCAAACTCATGTCCATTGAGACAATGATGCCATCCAACCGTCTCATCCTCTGTCGTCCCCTTCTCCTCCTGCCCTCAATCTTTCCCAGCATCAGCATCTTTTCCAGTAAGTCAGCTCTTTGAATCAGGTAGCCAAAGTATTGGAGTTTCAGCTTCAACATCAGCCCTTCCAATGAATATTCAGAGTTGATCTCCTTTAGTATTGACCAGTTTAATCTCCTTGCTGTCTATGGGGCTCTCAAGAGTATTCTCCTTGGTATTCCCATCTCTTTAACAATTTTCCATAGTTTGTTGTGATCCACACAGTCAAAGGCTTTCACGTAGTCAATGAACCAGAAGTAGGTGTTTTTCTGGAACTCTCTTGTCTTTTGTATAACCCAGTGGATGCTGGCAATTTGATTTATGCTTCCTCTGCCTTTTCTAAATCCAGCTTGTACATTGGAAGTTCTCAGTTCATGTATTATTGAAGTATAGCTTGAAGGGTTTTGAACATTGCCTTGCTAGCATGTGAAATGAACACACTTGTATGGTAGTTTGGGCATTCTTTGGCATTGCCTTTCTTTGAGATTGGAATGAAAACTGACCTTTTCCAGCCCTGTGGCCACTGCTGAGTTTTGATAAAGACATTAATGTAATATATTTCTAGATGAAGCACTCTAATACTTTCTATTACATTGCATTTTAATCTATTCTGTTGTTAATAATAGCCAGAAGAATCCTTGTCACAACCCACTAATTTAACTTAATGATATGATAATGGGCTGAGGTCTACAGTTGGGCCACGCTGAGGTATATATGCAATATGGCCAACTAATTAAGAAATTACATAATGTGGCAAGTCACACAAATACATGTCAAGATGCCAGAAAAGGGTAGGGGGGATCTGACAAGCACATTCATTGCAAGCAGTGGAGTGTGGTCCTTTTTTACACTATGTATTGTTTAGCATATGTTGGTTCTTAAGAAATGTTTGTTAAATGAATGCAGCTGGGTGAATGTCTTACAAATAACTGTCAAGCACTCCATTTCTTCTTTCAGTTACGACAAAGAAGACAAGTCACAAAGCCTGGGCCACCGCCCTTGCCTGCTCACGGCAAAGTGATTACACCCCTTCTGTGAACTGCAGATTCTTCCCCAGTACAGAGATGGCAGCAGCTTTGACCAACCTCCTGGACCTGGCTTGGATGAGGAAATATGCTTTTAGGATATTTCTTTACAGGGCTTTCCCAATAGCTCAGTTGGTAAAGAATCTGCCTGAGATGCAGGAGACCCTGGTTCGATTCCTGGGCTGGGAAGATCCACTGGAGAAGGGATAGGCTACCCACTCCAGTATTCTGGCCTGGAGAATCCCATGGACTGTATACACCATGGGGTTGTAAAGATCCAGACACGACTGAGTGACTTTAACTTCACTTTTATAACTTTGTATATTACGACAGTTTGACCAGAGGCAAGTTCCCTCTCTCTCTGGACGTTCTCCTTCCTTAAAGATAAGCACCATGTCACTTAATTCATTTCATCTCCATAGATTTTCTAATAGGATTTCTGGCACACAGTGGGTTCACATATTGAAATGATATATATTTGTTAGAAATACATTCAATTCTACTTTCCCATCAAATGGGACTGTTAAATTGTGAACATATTTTTTGCTTTCCTGCTTCATAAAATATGAGCACTCTAACCCCAGATGGCGCATCCTCCAGAAACATATGGACAAGATGATTTATAAGGAGTGCTCTTTCAGGAGCTGGTTCCACTTAGCCAAGGAGGCTGCATGATTTTGCCAAGACCTTTCAAGCAACTCATTGAGGAGGGTGAGCAGGTCTTAGTCATGCAGCCAAGGGATTGGAAAAAAAGTCTGACACAAAGCCCCTTTCGGAAAAGGTCTGGGTTTTCACAGTTTAGGGAAGGAGTGGCATAGACTGAGGTGGGAAATTTCTCTCCATGGTGCAGGGTACGACTTTGGAGTGAATATAAAGCATGACTCTGTTCTTTTCTTGTTGTTTATTATCTGTGACAAAATAGACCATGCAGGTCATTCCAGTCCAGGCTTAGCTCAGGGAGGGCATTTGCAAAGAAGAAAAATGAGCTGAAATTTACTTCTCACCTATTACACACCATTGTCTAAATGCTTGCATAAATCTTTGTGTATTAAGAATGTTATAGGGGTAGTCTTTCTACCCCCTTCTGATGTCTATGTCAGAAGCTTTCTCTATCTCCTTTATACTTTAATAAAACTTTATTGGAAAAAAAAAAGAATGTTATATTCAGGATGCGGAGTGGTATCGAACTGAAAATACTTCTCAGGCTGTGCTGTGTGTGTGCTAAGTCACTTCAGTCATGTGCAACTATTTGTGACCCTGTGGGCTGTAACCTGCCAGGCTCCCCTGTCCATGGGATTCTTCAGGCAAGGCTACTGGAGCAGGCTGCCATGCCCTCCTCCAGGGATCTTCCTGACTCAGGGACTGAACCTGAGTCTCATGTCTCCTGCATTGGCAGGTGGGTTCTTTACCACTAGTGCCACCTGGCAAGCCTGCTGCTCAGGCTAATGAGTCAGATGGTGAGAAACTCCATGTACTATGCTAAGGGCTCGTGTTTTCACTTGACACTGGTGGGCCCTAGGAGGTGTGTGTTTTTGCTTCCAAACGTACAGTTTACCGAGTTAAGAGCTGGGTCCTCCCTGGCTGTATCACCAGAGGTAAGAAAGTCTCAAAGCAGAGCTGCCGTCAGTGCTTTTAGGAGCACAGCCGCTCAGCACCAGAAACAAGAAGGGGTGAGTTTCGCATGAGCAAGGCTGCTCTCTTTATTAGCGATCCGTAATTAACAGAGTTGGGGCGAGTTCCGGTTTCACTTTGCCCTGTGCACGCCACCATAACCCCTGGGAAGAGAGTCCATTAATGGAGCCAGGACATCTATCCTGATGTGTCCAGCTTGGGCACCTACCGTCTTTTCATCGTGCTGTGCTGCCGACCCTGGTGAGCATTCTCCGCAGTGTCTGATCATACCGAGTGTCATTAGATAAGGCTTGCATGAACAGGCATTGGATTGTTTCCATGAAAATTTCAGTGGACTATTTCAGTCCGTCCCTCCACCACCACCTGCTCCCACTGCATATGTGCTCCCAGCACTTTCCCCTGACATGCCCTGTGCTTTTAGGTCACTGGCAGCTGGAGCTGGAACAGTTATTGATAATCCTTTATGTCGCCTTTTAGACTGATGGTCAGGGCAGAGTCCCAGACCCTTTGCTCCATGCCAGATCAAACAGTCCGCTGAGGTGTTTTTCCAGGTCCCTGTAATCCGATGACTAGTATTTGTAGAATATCTAAATCATGTTTGCATGGTTTAGCAAGACAGGATCCGAAAAACTGCTTAAAATATGTAGTGAAACTTTGAGGGGCTTACAGATACATCACAGCTTTTATTTACTTTCTGTTGTTAACAGAAGTTTAAGTCTGCACAGTCAGAAAAACATCCCAGAGGCGAAGAAACTGGGAGAGTTACTTTGTACTTATTTTATTTTCGGCACTGGGCAAAAAGCATCATTACATTACTGTTTAATCCTTATAATCATCAGATGTAGGTATTATTAGTTCCACATTTCTGGTGATAGAGCAAATGCAGAGGTTAGATAACCTGCCCACAGTCTTGCCCCTTAAAAGAGCAGATCTGAGTGCCTCCAAAATCCTGTACGGACACAACCTTTTGTTTAAAACCCATCAGTTGAAAGAGCCCTGTTTATTCTTCTGTAAATTTCTACCATCTGCCTAGAAGCTGGAGCATCACCTAGCCCGAACACTGTCTTATTACCAGCAAATAAATGTCAGAGTAAAGACCATGAAAATCATCTGTTACCTTTGCCTTCAAGAAGTGCATCCACTTCTACCTGAGAGTGATTCTGGGAAACAGACAGATTAGTGAAGCTGGAGTCATTGGGGGTACGCAACCTTATGTTTCTGAACATTTAACTTATTAAAATTCACAAAGAGAGACCTTATGGTGCCATCATTTTACCCAACTAACATCATCAGTACGGCTCAAGGGCTGTGGCTTTTTACAGTCACCCTAGCAGCGGTGAACATATGGTTTTACTTCTCTCTGAAGCCTCAGGGCATCTGACGGTACCTTTCATGGATAATGGATAAAGGCTACCACACCAGTGGGTAACTTCTGTTCCATCAGTATTGCCTTCGTGCCAAGAATGCTGAATGAATTCCAGGCAGTTTTGAGCTGACCTAGGTCTATTCTGTGAGCAGTAACCTCCTCAGGAGCAGCAGGGGTCGTGTTTCCTGTTTACCTGCATTTTGGATCTTCTCTGCCTGAGCTCCTTAGAACAGAAGCCTACGGAACACTGTTGAGCCACAGGTTGTAGCTCCCCCAATTTTCCAGCTGTTGCTCTGCTTGTGTTAGTTTGTTCTTTTGCTGCTTCCCCTACTGCATTTGGGTGAGAAAGGGTTTTGTCGTAATAGTCTCCAAGAATTACTGCGTGTATTTTGAGAATATATCCAAAGAAAGTAAGAGAATCAGAAGTGTTTTTGCACATTATTTCCCAGGTTCTCTGCGGCATCTAAGCTATAACTGACATCACTGTTTGTCAGTGCGGTGTCTTCCTGGCGATTAAGTGCAATTCCATCTAATCCGTTTTCCACTGTCAGTTGTTCAAGAGGGTCAACATCCCCTTTCTGCGTTCTCTGAAAAATGCTTACTAGTTTGAAAAATAGTGCAGTGAATTTACCAAAGGCCTGGAAATCCCCTAGGCTCAGCAACGGATTTTTCACTTATTTTGAAGAGGAAACATGTGGGCAGTTTCTACACATTCAGGACTTTATGTAGTATAGTGAATGCAAAGAGGGCAGGTTTTGGAACCAAATCCAACTGGGTCCAAATTTAAACTTTTGTAGTATTCTGGGTTGGGTTTCCCTGGTGGCTTAGCTGGTAAAGAATCTGCCTATAATGCAGGAGACCTGGGTTTGATCCCTGGGTCTGATCCCTGGGTCAAGCAGATCTTCTTCAGCAAGTGGCTTAATTTTCTGATCATTGGTACTCTCACTTTCTCTCTTACCTTTTGGTATGTTTTATGCATATTCATGCATATTGCCATAATTTATACACTTGTCATAGCACCCGGGATTGATTTCCTTAGTCCAGTTTCACAAATTGATGTTCAAAATCTATTCTGAACTTTGCCTTTTCTCATCAGCTTCAGAACAAAAGCTAGTCAAAGGCATCATCTTGTTGGTGTCTCTGCTTTTACTTGTGCATTCATTATGGTTTATTCTTCACAAAATTTACCTCCATTGTCACTCTATGGCCAGAGTAAACCTCAATTAAAAAAAAATCTTCTAATTCTTTAGCTGGAAGTCTTTCATGGTTCAGATTAATATTACACATTCCTTGAGATTGCTTTTAAAATGTTATCTTATCTAGGCCCTTCCCTAGCTTTCTTTCCAGATCCCTTTCTACTTTCTCCCAGGACCACTCTGTTCCAAGCAAGCTAGCAATTTTGATGTTTCTTGCACTCACCAAATTCACTCCCATCTCAGAGCATTTTCCCTTGCTGTTCCATAGAACTGGAATTCCTTTCCCCAAGATGTCTATGTTAAATCTTCGATATGACTAAGAGCTCAGAGACCCCTCCTATGATTATCACGTTAAAATAAAATGTATCCCTGTCCTGACTTTCTATCCTATAATTCAGGTGGTAGTTCTTCATTCGATCATCACTTTGTTGTTGTTCAGTCACTAAGTCGTATCCTACTCTTTGTGACCCCATGGACTGTAGCACACCAGGCTTCTCTGTCCCCTGCTATCTCCCGGAGTTAGCTCAAATTCATGTCCATTGAGTCAGTGTGAGTCAGGGATGCTATTTAACCACCCCATCCTCTGCCACCCCCTTGTTCTCCTGCCCTCAATCTTTCCCAACAACAGGGTCTTTTCCAATGAGTGAGTTCTTCGCATCAGGTGGCCAAAGTATTGGAGCTTCGACTTCAACAGTTCTTCCAACGAATATTCAGGGTTGATTCCCTTTAGGATTGACTGGTTTGATCTCCTTGCTGTTCAAGGGATTCTCAAGAGTCTTCTCCAGTACCACAGCTTGAAAACATCAGTTCTTTGACATTCATCCTTACTTATGGACCAACTCTCACATCTGTACATGACTACTGGAAAAAATATAGCTTTGACTATAGGGATCTTTGTCAGCAAAGTGATGTCTCTATTTTTTAATATGCTGTCTCGGTTTGCCATAGCT